GTTCATTAGAAACACGACGGCAAATCTCTGACATTAACTCCGTTTCCGTTTCGGGTGTACTACAGGCGCGGAGAGAGAAACTTGCTCAAGGAAAGGACCAGACTGGCGACTACAGTTCTGTATCTTCCAGCTTGTGGGGTGTCTGCGGGGATAGGGGTCCGAGTGAGCGCGTCTTTGCGGTTTTTATAGTGATTTAGATAGGGACGGGAGACAGTCGGGTGCCGAGACGCCCGAGTTAACCCGAACGCGTCCCGATGAGGTCGGGCGGGAGGATGAGACCGGACAGTTATTTATATATTTTATCTTTCATTATATCGTGGTATTCTGCCGTTTTCCCCATTTCCCGTCAGATTAGACGTCCGTCGCGAAAGAGTCTTGGCACAGGAAAGTTTTTTTTCTTAGTCGATAAAACAAAGTTATTGGCTGAGGACAAGTGTCGTTCTGAACCGGGGTGTGTCGTTGTGTATTTTTAGGTCGAAATTAAACGGCTTTCCCGGGTGAAGGGACTATTCTGAATCTTTAATAGAACCGGAGTTTCTTGGGGAAAAAGAAGAGAGATCCCATGGCAACACTCTCAGAGTCAGATCTGAGTCGTCTTTGTTGGAGAAAAAAATGTCTTTTCCAGACGCTTCTGTTTTCTCTCAGGAGCGACAAACTTTCCTCACACAGTAGGGTAAATTGTTGTCTCTTGACTGTAAGCCTTCATTATTTTGGCGTTTCTTTCAGAGTGAAAATCCTTAATCCCTGCTCCGAGCACGTCGCCGGACTCTCGGGATTTAACGGTCGTAACGAGTCTCCATGAACAGCGCACCTTCTAGAAAAAATGGAGAAATGATCAGGACCTCACGGAGGTCACTTAGTCCTCTGATCCATCCTTTTTAAACTGCTTTAAGACATACAGGGGCTCAAGAGTCTGTCCCAACAAGCAACGGGTGCAAGGCAGGGTACACCCTGGACAGGACACCAGTCCATCACAGGACACACACACACACCCTGGACAGGACACCAGCCCATCACAGGACACAC